GGCGCATAGTGCTGTGTCCATGGCTGCGTTGAACTGGCAATCAGCACACAACTTTGGAGCCCCATTGCTGCATGTGAGTCCAGCTTTTCTTATTGCTGCACTTACATTGTTCTGCCTGCAGCATCTTTCCATGTGCCAATTGCAGAACGGCTGGCCACTGACGGACACAGTTTACAGGGTTAAGGAGCAGCCGGGACCCAAGGCAGCTTGCAAGAGGCTTTCAGGCGTGCTCCTTGCTGCTTTCATCTCTTGGAGATGTAATCCCCAAATCCCAACAAGGATGCAGAGGAGCGAGGGTCAAATGTACCAAGAGGCCACCCACCCAGCATGCACGCCATAAATGGCTGCAAAGTGCTCCTGGGACCCAGGGCCATTTGCGAGAAAATTGATTTTGTGCCTGTGTGTGATGCTAACACAAACTAGTCAGCAGCACAGCACAGCTGACAGGAGGGCAGGGAAGTGGGAGGGTGGGTAGAGAGAACAGAGTGCCAAGGTGCCAAGGCAGGGCTGTCAAGACACAATTGGATTTTTATTGGATTTTTAAAACATGCATGACTCCCAGTGACATTATAATCTGGATAACAACTCAGCTGGTGCTGTGTTAGAGAAAATAAATTTGTATTTGCAAGGGTTTAGAGCCACACAACCGAGTACGGGATGAAGCAGATGGTGGGCAGGATCCTGTCTGGTAGTTCTGGAAGAAAGGGTGGCAGAGTGTTCATTATTTAATTTCAGTGGCTGAGATCCTACATCATAGTCTACATTCCATAACTTTACGAACCCATAGCGACATTGTGGAAACACAACAAAACACTGTTAGTGCATTGCAAAGATGTGCATCTGAGCATGGGCAAGAGTGCTCCAATGTGCATCAAGCACTGCTAACACACATCAGGCCCGTCTGTTGTGCTCCGACATTTCCTTGCGAGTGTTCAATTGTGCACCGAGGAGTGCCCCAATGCGCATCAGTCCCCATGGCTCATCGGACTGTGGTCCTCAGCCACTGTCCCATTGCTCACCAGATGCCTGTACGTTGTAATGTCACAGCAACCCCTAAGTCAGGGGTAGGCAACCTTTTTGAGCCGGGGGCCGGGTTGCTGTCCCTCAGACAATTGACGGGCCGAAGCACCAAAAATAAATAAATAAATAAATTAAAATTAAAATTAAAATTAAAAAAGAATTTAAAAATTGTATTTTTCCCAGCAAGTAAGAGTGGGATTTTCTGCCTCATGGGGCAACAGCATTTGCCTGGCTTTGGCTACAGCACACCTGAAACAAGTTCCTAGATTGGGGGTAAGGCTCCATATGTGGAGCTATGCACTGACTGTGTGCTGCACAACATTTGTGTTGGATGGTAATGTTTCCCAACAGAATGGACACCCAAATGCTAAACTGAATGGGCATGTTTGTGCACCCATGTGAACTTGCATGTGCAATGGTGCAATTCACCTGCATGTTCAATGGTGCAATTCACCAGCCTTGGCCTTTTGGTAATTTGAACCCCCTGGAATGGGCCCTACCCGCTGGAGCAGCCACAAACAAGCTCAGTCCATCATCCTTGGGACAGCCCTCCAGGGCAGGAGAGTACAAGAAGACTTCAGCTAGGAATTGCCCTAAGCAACAAGAGAGGGTTAAGAGGCTTTTCCCAGCAGGAATTTCTCTAGATGGCAAAGGGCCAAAGTGAGACAAGGGAAAGCCAGAGAAAAAGGTTGCAGTAGTCAAGATAAGGCAAGCTCCAGAATGTGACTCTGCATTTCAGCATCAGGAACTGGAAAAGAGGCTACCCCATTCCAAGTAGAGCCATCTGAATTTGTTTTTTGCTTGTTTGTTTGGTGCCATGTCACTGCAGGAAAATGCAGCGATGACAACAAATCCCTCCGCCTCCAAAAAAAATGGAAAAGGGGGAATTGTTCTGTTAGAGTGCTTCTGGCCTGTGTGATGGTGCCAGAGGTTTACTGCTATCTGACTGATGCAAAGTGACAGGCTTCATCCTAGAACCTCGTGTGGTCTCTGGCTGCCCCTGCGGGAAAACAATGTCCTGTCCTTTCTTTTCCCCTAGAACTCGGTCTCTCGCTCACTCGCTCACTCTATCTATCTCTCTGTCTTTCTCTTTCCTCTCATATGAACCCGAGAGATGGTGCCGGTTTTAGGTTTTCGACATCAAGTGCAGGATGGGCAGATCAGCATTACTCTTTCACAACGGGCAGACTTAGCCAGCCGCCATGCGGAAGTGAAGGGATGCAAATGAGATTTGACAGCTGGCCAATTATTAAGTGCTCCCAGCCAATCCATCCTCCCGCACCCCTTCCAGTTGAGGCAGGGTTGGACCCATCCTGAGATCTAATGCAGCTCAAGCTAGGAAGCCCTAGGAGGGCTGACCCTCCTCGTCCTTGTTCACATGTAACATTCGACCTACAGGGTGATGTGCTCAAGTGAACAAGCCATCATTCATTCAACACGATTGTTAGGAGCAGCTCAGTTTGCATGCAACTCCATGGAGATCCACTGAATTGCAGGTGTCCACTTCCAGCTTGGCCATTGCTGCTCTAAAGTGCCACCACGGTCATCACGAGAAATGGTATTGCAATGTTGTCAAGCAGCCATCAGAGTTGACTTAAGGAGCCAAAAAGGGTCACAGCCCTGTACCGCTGTGACTTTTCAGTGCCCAGCAGTTACCATACATGGGGACCCTGAGATTTGTTTTTGTGACTCTTGGCCCATCCAGAACCCCAAGAATACACCCAAAAAGTGAATTGTCTCTTTTAGAAGTTTCCGGGATCAGAAATTCACATTCCAAATAGGTTACAGAGTCCTTCAGTGCTGTTTAAAGGGTTGTTGTTGTTTTTTAAAGAAAATCCCATTTACCAAAAAAGAAATGAACCTGTGGCTGCTTCCAGTTTGGTTTGGTTTAGTTTTATGCATCATCATCATCATCATCATTATTATTATTATTATTATTATTATTATTTTGGCAATCTGTGCAGCCCCCAGAGGCTCCAGGGACAGAAAAGTGGCCCTACATCCACTTCTGCTTTAAATCGAGTTACCCACTCCATTTTAGGTCTAGTGTGTTGGGGTGAAGTCTTTGTTGAGGAGAGAAACACTAAGGATTTGGGGTATTTCTGATGTGCATTGGGCACTTCTGATGCATACTAAGTACTTCTGAAGTGCACTGGGCATTTCTGATGCACACCAGGCACTCCTGTTGTGTTTCAGCATTTCCTAACCAGTGCCCAGATGCACACTCGTGAGCACCCCGATGTGCACCAGTGCCCACTGAGTATCTATCATTGAGTCACTCTACCACTGTAAAATAAACACCCATATGTTGTAACATCACAGCAGCCCCTAGGTGAATATGGACATTGTGCAACTACTCGATTCAGTTTTGCACACATGCAAGGCCAGTTGGAAAGATGCAAGTCTCAAGCAGAATGCCGGCCAACATAAATAAATAGAAAAATGGCCAAAAACAGCCCCCAAAGCATCAAGTCTGGTGCACCTCCATGCCGAAGCCAAGCTAAGCTGCTCTTTCTCTTGCACTGTCACCGATGGGCTTAAGGATGAGTAGCCCTACACGATTTCTTCTGGACTTTGGTTGTAAAGCAGAGCAGAGATATAATCCCTCGGCTTTGTCTCCAGCTGCAATTACCCATGCTAAACGGATGCAGATGACGGTAATAGGACGCTAACATGGTCTGTATGGAAAGCCGATTCCAAGGGTCTAATTTTCATCAGTGCGGCTTGACTTTTTATAGCAACTGGAAAATGGGAGAGTGGCTAATGAGCTATAATTCTGAAGAGCTTCTGCCTTGATTGAGACTAATTATTTTTTATAAAGAAAAAATAATTAAAAATGTGAGCTGGGGAGGAAAGAAAACATGTGGCATTAAATAATTCATGCACCTTTTATCTCGCCTTCCGCCAAATAGCTGACAAATATGCAGAGAAAGGCATGTCAAAACAGACCAGCAAGGGCATCTGGGTGCCCCCTAGTCAAACCACCACCCAGAATTTGGGAAATGATCCTATTCTGGGCTACACCTTCCAGAATGACACTGTCTTTGAGTTGTTGTCCAAGCAACAGACATTTTACAACCTCTGACTAGAACTGCGCTGAGAATCCTATATCGTTTCTACTCAGAAATGATGCTTCTGCATCTCTGATCCTCCAGATATCTCCCTTGTTGCAACAGCTTCACCCATCCATCTCGAGCACAATTCAAACTGCTGGCTTTGGCCAATACAGTCGGGCCTCCTTATCCACAGATTTTTTTTTATCCATGGATTCAAGCATCCACAGCTTGAAAATATTCAAAGAAAAATATACATTCCAAATAGCAAACTTTGGTTTTGCTATTTTATATAAGGGTCACTATTTTACTGTGCCATTGCCTTTAACGGGACTTGAGCGTCCACGGATTTTGTTGTCCACGGGGGTTCCTGGAACCAAACCCCAATGGATAACAACAGCCCACTGTAAAATCCTACATGGCTTAGGTCCAAGTCATTTGAAGGACTGTATTCCCCCTTACAAGCCTGCCTGTGTCTTGAGATCTGCTGAGGAGGACGTTTTCTCTGTCCCACCACCCTCACAGGTACATCTGGTGGAAACATGGGAGATGAGGTCTTCTTGGTGGCTGCCCCCAGGTTCAGGAGCTCTCTTTACTTCCTCTGCAGGCCAAGAAAACCCTAGTAGTAGAATTCAAAGCTATAGCCATGTGGTCTCAGTATCTAGAGAGATCTTGTAGCACCTTTGAGACTCACTGAAAGAAAGAAGTTGGCAGCATGAGCTTTTGTAGACTTAAGTCTACTTCCTCAGATACGCTTGGACCAAATGCACCTGAGGATGTAGACTGAAGTCTATGAAAGCTCATGCTGATAACTCCTTTCTTTCAGTGAGTCTCAAAGGTGCTACAAGATCTCTGTACATAAAGAAAATCTTAGGATAGCACCTCCATAAATTGGAGTCAACCTGAAGGCACATAACAACAAGAAGAGCCAGAGTTGTTTAGTGGTTTGAGTGTTGGATTAAGACTTCAAGTGACCAGGGTTCAAATCCCTGCTCTACCATGGAAACCCAGTAGATGATCTTGGCCAAGGCTCACTCTCTCCACTTCACATGAAGGCAATAGCAATCCTTCTCTCAATAAACTCTGCCAAGAAAATCCTAGGATCAGGTTGCCTTAGGGTGGCCATAAGTCAGAAACAATTTGCAGACATCCAACAAAATCTTGATATGGGCTGGCCATGAAGTTAGAAGAAATTCCATGGGTGGGGGGGAGAAAAAAAGAAGACGATAAATGCATATCGTATCAGAGGCTAAGCACCGGGCGATGAGCTTTGAGATAGATGCAGCTGTCAGTTTTGGGATGCTTGTGATGATCTGGTTTGTAGGAGGAATCAGACTGAAAATGCCTGTTTTGAATTTTCATGATGACTCCTTTTCAAGAATGCAAACGAATGCAGAAATGGGACAAAACAAACCAGATCATCACAAGCATCCCAAAACTGACAGCTGCATCTATCTCAAAGCTCATCGCCTGGTGCTTAGCCTCTGAGCAACCAGGGTCAAGAAGGGCAAGAAAGAGGCCTTTCTGTCCCCTCTTTGCAGACATGGCCATGCGTGTCTCCTGCCTCCCTTGTCATCCACACCGCCTGCATTTTGCCCCTGATGAAGGACTTCTGTTCCCCAGAGGTAGCGCATTGCTGCCATGTGGATTTAAAAGGCTGTGACACCCTGAGCCCCGAGGAAGCCTTTCGTCAAGGCAGCTCTGCGGCCACAGATTAAAGGGCTCTGACAGTAATTGTAGTCCAGCAGGGAAGAAGTCGCCTTCTCGCTCAAGGGCGAAAATGGAAAAGGAAACACAAGGCAACTCAGTTGGTCAGCTGCTGTGGATTTCTCTTCTCACTTTGCTTCTATGGGAACTAGGAGATGTTCCTTTGAATGACAGACCTCAAAGGCCAAGATCCTGCAGCATCCTTGCAGGGCCTAAATATTGGATATGTTTATCGTGGAGAAGACAGATAGGTGACATGATAGCCGTCTTTAAATAGTGTTCGGGGTGTTATCATGGGGAAAATGGAGAGATCTTGCTTTCTGCAGCTCCAAAGGAACCATTCGCTCTACACAAAGATAACACAAGGATTCCACTTCAACTGTCATGGTTGCATACTGGGCTTTTTAGTTTGGTGAGGCGCTAGAGCTCTCGAGGTGAGAATTCGAAAGAGTGCACTCTAAACTGAAAATCCCAGAATTCCCTAGGATGGAACCGTGGCGGCCAAAGTGGAATTGTAATGCTATAACTGCATAGTGTGAAAGAGCTCCAGAACACAGAACAATGGATACAAATGACACTTCAATACGAGGAAGAATGTCTTGACTGTAAGAGCTGTTTGACAGTGGGGTAACAGCATTTTTATCATCCAAAATCTGGTAAACACCTTTCTTTTTTGGAAGGCATTTGATTTGAAATGTTTAATCTGGCACATTTTTATTATTATTTTTAAAATATTTTGACTGCTGTTGTCACTTTATGTATTGCTGCGGTTCTTGCACATAATGGTTCATGTTTTAAACTGTCAACACATTTATAAGTATTAATCAGCTAAAAAAATTGTCTTGAAACATTCACCAGAGGAGGCTGTACTCCAATTTACATTTGTGTAAAATGAAATTGTGACATTGTGTGATGTTTGTACTCTCCAGAGGGGAGCAGAAAGATAGATATGTCATTGTAACTATGGCACAAGCAGAGCCAACAGTGTGGCCATTGCATGATGGTCTGATACACAATGCGTCCTGATGTGCAATGTGTCCCAATGAGCAATGGGACATCTTGCACAGTGCACCATTGTCCTCAAAATTCATTCGCATGGATGTGTTTTAAGCCAGCAACATAGCTCTGTCCTTGTAAATGGCTAAAGGTATCAATCGTAGCCTCAGGCGCAGGATCTTGGTATGTTTGGGGTTTTTTTCACAGAATAAGTCCCTTGATGGGAATACTCTTTGGAAACTGCTGTTTTTGATGACTTTCTCACTGAGAGGAGAAAATTGAAGAAATTATTAGTTTTTAACTGCGAGAATGAAGTTTATCAAGATTTACATCCCTAGCCAATACCTAGGTAAATCCCAGTAGATGGAACCCTGTAGGTAGCTTACACAAATAGTTGGACATTTTTGTCCAACACAGAATGTCTGCATTAGGCTCAAGGTTGTAGAAGCAGAGTTGTGCATGTAGTGTCATTTATCCATGAAGGTGTGCATTGTATCTTCACAGCCAGCAGCTGCATCTTGCAAAGGAGATCTGTCCAGCTGCCAATCAGGGCACAAGGAAGATGACCTTTCCATCCTCCTCCCAGTAGTAAATAAGGCTGCGAAAATACAGGACCTTGTCACAATTCCCCATTGCAACTTTGTCCACTGGTGGTGGGAAGCTGTTTTTCAACCTCAAAGAAAAGGAAAACACAATAAATTAAAAACACAATTTCAGATCTCATGATCATTGTTAATAATAGCAACCTCTCTCCTTTCCACCACTGCGTTTCCATCATAATAATAAGAGATATAGGTCAGAATCCTGCGGTTTCTTACTCATGCCTACGTTTCCCCACAAAAGTAGTTGGTCATCTTCCCTGCCATGTAGAACATTCATTTTCAGTTCAAAGTTGCAGAAGAAGACTTACACACGTGGTGCCACTGTGCATACAGGTGCACATGTGCAGGGAAGTTTGCCCATGCATGTCTATTCAGTTGCCACTCAGATGTGCATTCAGTCACACAACGTTGCCATTCAACACAAGGGCGACATAGCACAATCAGTGCATAAGTCTTCGTGCAGAGACTTACAGAATGGCTGAGATCCGACATCACTTCAGCATAGTGTAAATATCCACCACTGGAGCTGTGTTGTGTAACGTCTATACCGAATAGCAATACAACCCAATGTATGTGGACCAATGGCCAATGCACAATGTTGACAACCCATTGTGCAATTGCAATGCACAATGGCAATGCATAAAGACAATGTGCATTCATATACTACTCTGTGGACTTTAATGCCCAACAATCCCATATGCACCACTTCACTTATGCTGTCACCAGCTGGATACAACTATTGCATATTGTCCAAGAATAATAACTATATGTGTAGTACAACTTAGACCAGCATATGTCACTAACAGGATGCCAACTTGTACAACTCCCATCTAATATATTTGTAAAGCTAACATTGCTGGTTGCAAAGTCTCCTCTCCCTTTCCCTCCACCTGCCCAATCTTTCCCCCCCCCTCCTTCCTTTTCTGTTTATCTCTTTACCACCAGCCTTCAATGCAATAATCCCCACCAGGCCCCCTTTTGAAGTCTCACAATTCCTTGATATCACAGCTACACAAGAAGGGCTGCCATAGTCTGCTTTGGCAATACACAGCCTCGCTCGGAAACAACTGATGCTTTTCAAAAGCAAAGCGATAATAGGTGCTTGTTAAAAGTTAATTGATCCTAAAAGGAGAAAGAAGCTTAGAAGTCAGATTGCCAAGATGAATATAATGGCAGAATCAAAATCCCCTGCCGATGTCGCTGGCGTGGATATAGGAGGCTTATAACATTCATTTTCCTTTATTTCACTTAATGTTCAGGATGAGTAATGGTTTTCCCTCATTGTTCCTTGCGTTGGCTCTTTGTTTTTCACTGTTTCTATCTTCCAGTTTCACTTGGACAATTCCTTACATTAATTTTTCAAAAGACATTGACTGGAATCCTGTTGGTGTCTTACATATGTGTATGTTTAACCATGGTATAGTGGTTTGAGCATTGGATTGTAACTGGAGAACAGGGTTTGGTTCTCCGCTTGGCCATGGAAACCCACTGGGTGACCTCGAGTGGGCAAGTCACACCCTCTCAACTGCAGAGGATGGCAATGGCAAACCCCCTCTAAAGAAACTTGCCAAGAAAACCCCATGATAGAGTCACCTTAGGGTTGGCATAAGTTGGAAATAACTTGAAGGCACACAACAACAACCAAAATATGGAAGGGGTTGGACATTTTTGATCAATGAGGAAAAACCGTACTTACTGCAAAGCTGTGCAAAAAAAATAAAACTGCACATGTGGTGCTGGTACATGTGTGTGTTGCATTGGGTTGCTCATGCAGTTATAAAGCATCATCATTCAACACAAAGCTTGTGTACTACAATCAGACTGATATCCTGTTAGCGGCATACACAAGTGTAAGTCCACCTTACATTTGGGTCTTCCTCAATTGCTGCTGCTTTTGGTGAGGGCTTGCTCTCATTTTGCACATTTTACTACCAGCTGAGAAGCTAGCATCTGTCAGGAGTTCTTGACTTGTCCATTCCTCCATGACAGGGGGGTTGGACTAGGTGACCCTCGCTGTCCCTTCCAAATCTAAGAATCTATTATCTTAATGCTTCTGTCTGGGGGTCTTTGCTAGTCCCACTTTTCATCTCAAAGAACCCACACAAGGAAGGTTGCATGGGACTACTTCTTGTGCAATGGTGCAAAGTTCAAGCTGCAGACATCTCTGAAGAGCGGTCCTTCACTGGGAGACAGTCAGGTGGCAGTTGGAGATGCAAAATGATAGCAGACGTTTACCATATCAAAAAGCCAGTCTGACCTCTAGTGCCAAGACAACACACCGTAGGAAACCATGAGATGTGCCTCGGAAGTAGGCACTGATCGGATGCCTTCCATTTTTCAGGGTACTGCCTTCTCTTGTCCTTCTTTTTTTCTTCCCCCAAGGTGCAAACCAAATGTGAAAAGTGCTTTCTTGTCTTCTTGATTTAAATTTACAGCACCTCAGCCGAGGGAGGGAGGCGGACGCTGCAATCGCTTGATTGATACTGTGCTGAGGGATCCATAGTCTCTGATGTAATTACACTTATGGGTTTTGTGTGATAAGAAGATTAATCAGTCCATTACACCAGAGCTGTTTACCCACAGACGAAAGTAATTGAACAGAGCACTCATACCTCACTGCCAGCACTTTGTGCAGCTACCTGGGAGCCTAATGAAGCCTACTTTGCCAGCTCCTGTTGACTTCGAAGGAGAGGGA